ACCCCCCCACCCACCCAAGTCTTGCATCTCTCATATCTTCCAAACCAGCTCCATACAAAGGATGCTGCCAAGTTCTGCTGCCAGCTGGAGATGTAGCCTGTCCCCCTTAGATCACGGTTGTGTCAGTCCCTGTGTGCCAATCCTCTGATCAGTGGACACTCCCCGAAGTAGGCTATCTTCCATGACGAAGCTGTTGTTACCAATTAGAGCTTCTGTCTCAGGACTAACCTGAACACTCTCCTGCCCTGAAATTTCCTCTGCTGAGCACATTAGGCCATCATCTCTCAATCCAATGTCTCTTGGCTGAAATATCATACAAACAGCCCTTATTCCAGGAGCTGATGGAGTCCTTGCTCCCCTCTGAACCTGTCTGCATTCCTGTTAGCATTCTTGTCTTCCAAGCTCTCACCAGAATAGCTCATTAAACTCATCTTCCAGCATTTGAAGGCTTTTCTAGCCCCAAGCACCAAAACTCTTCCACATTCTTCCCATAAATCAGTTCCAATGGTCTAAGAGCCACATGGTCAGGTTTAATCCCAGCAAAGGCCCCACTGCTCAGTGCCAGTCTCCTCTGAAGGCTCTAGTGGAAGCAACTTAAGGGAAAAGGGGTTTATTTCAGCTCACAGTTCAAGGGCACAGTCTACAGTCAGTCAGCAGAGAGTGATGACTGTATGCCCAGCTGCTCATTTCCAATTTTATACAGTCCAGAATTCCCTGCCCAGGGAACGTCCAAGCTACAGTTAAAAGTATCTTCCCACCTCAGTTAACATATAAGACAGTTTCTCACAAGCCTGGGCAGAGGTGACCCTAAATCCTGTCAAGCTGACAACAGGAACCATCATGTAGGAAAAACCTAGACAAAACAAACAAACACGATAAATAATTTATAGCACACAGTATCACCCAATTCTAGAACCGAGAACAGATTCTGGACTCTCAATACACTGACAATCCACAGTGATTGAATAGCGGTGATTGAATCGCCCTCCTCTTCATGCCAGCCTGAGATGTCCTCACCATGGCCTGAATTCTCACTTGCAATGGAGTCTAGTTCTGTTTTGTTTCCATTGACTTGTTTCTTCCCGTGTGTGTGTGTGTGTGTGTGTGTGTGTGTGTGTGTGTGTCTTATAAAAGGATACCTTTTCACGTGTTTAAAAGGCCAGCTGGAACATAAGTGTCCAGGAGGCCACGCATCAGGTTGTCAGGCTTCAGAAGGGGCTTCCACAGCTGGTCAGGGCACAGGGGAGGTAGTTAAGAAGTTAAACCTTTGATCATCAAGATGGTTTAGCAGGTAAAGGCTGCCAGACTGGGTTCAATACCCAGAACCCACATGGTAGGAAAGAACCAACCCCTGAAAGTTGCCCTCTGACCTGCACATGCGTACCAGGACACTTGGAGGCTCCCATATATACATAAATAAATAAACAAAAATGTAAATTGAAGTGTAAAGCAATCCCCTTTCCTGCCACCCCTCCTAACCTCACCCTTTCCATCCCAGGGGCTGGAGGAAGAAGAAGTCTGAGATAAGAGCTGATGCAGAGGACAAAGCTCGAGCTGTCATCCGAGAAGAGTTCCAGAGCCTGGGGCCCATCAAGTACGAGCGAGTGTTGGGGTGTGAGTGAGCTGGCCCTTGAGTTTTCAGGGTAGTTACCTCCAGCTTGACCTGGGCTGAGTGCCAGGGGTTGCTGAGAGCCGTGGTGACAGAGGGCAGAAGATGGCTCCTGCCTTGCCCTGGTGAGGGACCATTAAGCTCAGGCTGGACTCTGGACTCGGCTGGGCATCTTCTCTGTCTTATAAATACCCTTTTCCTTCTAGTACATGGTCTATCTGACACCACCCCCCAGAGCCGAGTGCCTGTTTAATGCATGTTTCCCATGTGCTAGAAACATGCAGGCTTCTGCAAGCTCACATTCAAGGAGTGGTTTGGCCATTGCTTCCTGTGCACCTTCAGACTCCATTTCTCACTCTGTGAGTTAGACACACTGTTAACTGCCTCTCCCAGACTTGGGGAGTCTGTCTTTTCACTTCTATGTACCCCCCTTCTAATTCTGGCCATGCCCCTCCGAGCTGTGTGTGCCCCTCTTGGAATGTCTGTCCCTTTCTGTGTGTGTCTATCTGTATGACTGTTTCTCTATGTCTCCTCCCCTGCACCCCTGTACTTTTATTTTCAGACAGGATCTCTCTATTGTGTAGTTCTGTCTGTCCTGGAACTCTATGTAGACCAGGCTGGCCTCGAACTCAAAAAGATCTGCCTGCCTCTGCCTCCCAAGTGCAGGGATTAAAAGTGTGTTCCATCACTCCCAGCTTGTCCCCATTTTCTGCTTCTCTTTCTTTTGCTGTCTGTCTGACTGGATTTTCTGTAGGGCCTTGGCCAGTTCCCCTTAACAATGTTTGAAGCCTTTGGGGACCCTGGCAGAGGCTTCCACCCTGGAGCCCCCGCCCACACTGTCGCTTCCCTGAGTGAATGTCCCCTCTCGGCTCCTGTCTGAGCCCAGGATGAGGAACATGGTTACATCTGTCCACCGCAGGTTTGCCGAACAGGCCGTTTTCATCTTGTTCTGTGCGTTTGCCATCCTCCTCTTCTCCCGGGACCCGAAGTTCATCCCTGGCTGGGCCAGCCTCTTCGCCCCTGGGTAAGATTCTGCAGACCCATAAGGCAGGGCTTTGTGGGGGGATTCTGGGGTGGGCCATGTGGAGCTAGAGGGGTAGCAGTACCTCCCAGAAGATATAGGGGGATAACTCTTGGTTTCTCTGGTGACAGGTGCTCAGACAAAAACGGGGTTAGAGGCCTAACTCCGCCTTGGTGAGCTGTGTGACTCTGTGCCATTTGTTCATTTAGTCACTCACTTATGGGGACTATGTTACGTGCTAAGCTTGGGGCGGGTGCCATGGGCACAGACAAGAGCAGGTACTAGACAGTCAAGTGACTGCAGCTTGGACTGGATGCGCTGAGAAAGTGAGTGGGCCGCACTGTAAAACAGCGGAGCAGGGCACTGACTGGGACGAGTTCTGGAAAGAACTCAAGACTGAAGCAGAGGTCTGAACAGACTCAACTGTTGGAGCTGGTGGGAAGGAAGGACGGACGGACGGACGGACGGACGGGCACTGTGTGGGAAGGGTGGGTAAGCACTTGACTCCAAGGCCTGTATCGGGCATGTTAAGCACAGGCCTTTCCCTGAGAGTAGTGGGCAGTTATTGGAGGGTGGGCATAAGAGTATGATTATTTCTTGAGGATAAATGTCTAGAAGTAGAGTAGCTGGGTGGAGGAGTGGTCTCACATGTAAGGGTGTAAAACATGCTACCAACATGGGTAACCCCACAACAGGGTTAACCCCACAGATTATCTCACTACTTACATGTTCCCATCACCCTCACCAGCCTTGTCCCTCATGGAGGTGGCAGAAAAGTGGCTCCACTTATGATGTGTGATTGACCGCACCCCTCCATCTTCCTGGCAATTTCAAATATTCTTGTTTGGTGTGAGCTGAGGAGTTATGGGCTCTGGGCTTCCCCGAACAAAGAGCTGGGAAAACTGGGGTTTAAGACCCAGCCCCTCCACAGTCCAAGGTCTGACCTTAAGCAGGTCATTTTTGCTTCCTGAACCCCCCAAAGCCTGCTCCAAAGGCCTCGTGTCTCTCAGGCTCCCACAAAGGTTTATCAATGTAGAAGCAGGGTTTGAAGGAGCTGCGAGGCTGGTAGACCTGGGCTTGGCTGGTGTGAATGGCTCTCTCTCTCTAGTGGTGAGCTGCCTGTGCCAGGAGGAACCCAAGCAGAATTTAAGACACACACATACAGGGCTCTTCTGTGCTCTATGGACCCCAATATCTTGTACCTCTCAATTCCCATCTTTGGAAAGTTCCTATTCTAGATCCTTAGATCAGGAGGGCAAGCTTTTGTTTGACAGCAGCAAAATGACCTATGGCATCCTGGGTAATGGCTTAGTGTTGTTGGGTTTTTTGTTCTGTTTGGGTTTTTTTGTTGTTGTTGTTTACTCTTTTCCCTTTGGCTCTTTGGGGGGGGGCTGCCACCCACATTGCAAATAATCAGACACAGAGACCTTTTCTTACTTCTAAATGCCTGACCTTAGCTTGGTTTATTTCTTGCCAGCTTATCTTACTTAAATTATCCCATCTAGCTTTTGCCTCTGGGCTTTTCCCTTTATTTCTGTGTATCTCTCTTTCTTACTCCATTGCTGGTTTGCGTAACTGGGTAGCTGGCCCCCGGAGTCCTCCTCTCCTTCTCCTTTCACTCCCCCAATCTCCTTCTCCCAGATCTCTCCTCCTCTTTATTCTCTCTGCCTGCCAGCCCTGCCAATCCTTTCTCCTGTCTGGCTACTGGCTGTTCAGGTTTTTATTAGACCAATCAGGTGTTTTATACAGGCACAGTAACACAGCTTCACAAAGATAAACAAATGCAACCCATCTTTGCACCATTAAAACAAATGTTCCACAGCATAAACAAATGTAACACATCTTCAACTAATATTCCACAAAAGCTTGGGCCTACCTGGGTCGCCGCATCTGACCTGGGCACAATACAGGATGGTGGTTCCACAGGCCTCAGGGTCCCTTCTAGCAGACCTCTCCCCATCTGCAGATCCTCCTTTAAAAGTCTGTCAATCCATGGCCTGTCAGGAGCCAGGGTCATGTGCTGCGGCCTTCTCCCTGCAGGTTTGTTTCGGATGCTGTCACCGGTGTGGCCATTGTCATCATCCTGTTCTTCTTTCCATCCCAGAAGCCCTCACTCAAGTGGTGGTTTGACTTCAAAGGTAGGATGGTCACAGTGTCACAGCAGGAGTCTTGGGCTTGAGAGGACTGGTGAGGGCTTGGAAATCAGCTCTGCTAATCATGGTCAGTGCCAGTGTGCTACCTGTCTGAGGACTTGGGGCTGCTCAGAGTCTCCTTTCCTCTCAGGGTATCCTTTCCCCTCAAATCTTTTTCCCCTCAGGTCTCCTTTTCCTCATTGTGCCCTTCCCTTCAGGGACTCCCTTCCCTCAGGGTCTCTCTTCTCTCAGAGTTTCTTTCCTCTCAGAATCTACTTCTTGTGTCTGTTTTGAAGCCTCAGCTTCCTCTTTGTCTCTTTCCTGGGTGCATCTTCTCTTCTCCAGGGTCCTCCTTTGCATCTTCCTCCAAATTGTGTCTTCACGGATTCCAGCCTGCTCCTTCCCCACCTGTAGCACACAGCTACGTGGAGTTCCTGCTATCTTGACTCCCCCACAACGGCAGTGGACTATGACCTGGAATCATGAGCCGAGCGACCCGTTTCTCCCCTCAGATGCTTTCTGTCAGGGTGTTTTATCACAGCAACAGAAGGAAACTAGATTGCTTTGTCCCAGTTTGAGGGGAAACAGTTGACAGAGAAGGCATGACGGCAGGATCTGCAGGCGGCTGGTCACATCGAATCCACCGTCAGGGGGCAGAGAAGGATGAAGATGGCACTCAGCTCTCTTTCTCCTTTAGATTCACTCACAAACTGCATCCCATGGGATGGCACTGCCCACATTTGGGGCGGGTCTTATATGGGATGGAGCTGCCACATGCAGGGTGGATATTCCTCTTTAGTTAAACCTCTCTCGAAACAGCCTCATAGACATACCCAAAGGTGTGTTGCCATGGGATTCTAAAACCAGTCGAGCTGGACCTCCAGCCCTGGGCACATCAAGCTCTGTACACACATCTGACAATTCCACTTTTGGTGGGGGGAGATGTCTCTCTGTTTTCACTGCTTGTCGCCATACACAAAGACTGAACTTATTTCCATATGATTTTCTGAGAAGCAAAGAATCCATATTTCCGCATGAAATCTTCCTAGTTTTAGATATTGCCAAATAATTCAAAGTGCAAAGCCAACACTTGGGGTCATAACAGTAGCATGAAGTCTCTTAGTGTGATCAATCAGGTCCTTGGAGTCACCGTGTCCCCTCTGCAGAGGGCTGTCAGTTTGGAGTTTTTGAAATTAGTGTGTGGACCTTCCCTTCATGAGACTCATTGGCACTTATGTGTCTCTCTTTAATAGTCAGTCAGTATTGGCCTAGGCCTCAGCAGCTGGGCACTGTGCTGTGGTTGATAGGCAGATGATGGTGGTTATGTTGATGATGAGGGTAATGATGTTGGTGCTGATGGTGATGATATTGATGATGATGATGGTGATGGCAATGGTGATGTTGGTGATGATGGTGATGGCAATGGTGATGTTGGTGATGATGGTGATGGCAATGATGATGTTTGTGATGATGGTGATGGCAATGGTGATGTTGGTGATGATGGTGATGGCAATGGTGATGTTGGTGAGATGGTGATGGCAATGATGATGTTGATGATGATGGTGATGGCAATGGTGATGTTGATGATGATGGTGATGGCAATGGTGATGTTGGTGATGATGGTGATGGCAATGGTGATGTTGGTGAGATGGTGATGGCAATGATGATGTTGATGATGATGGTGATGGCAATGATGGTGATGGCAATGGTGATGTTGATGATGGTGATGATGATAGCAATGATGGTGCTGATGGTGAGGACCAGGGTAATGATGATGGCAAGGATGGCTCTTATTTCTTCCCTGCTCAACCAACTCTTCCTCCAGATGTCTGCCTGGCTTGCTCAACTACATCATTCAGAGTTCTGCCCAAATACCACTTCCCCAGAGAGGCCTTCCCTGAATATGACATCCACAAACACCTCCTTCCCATCTCTCTCTGTTCTATGACTTATTTGATCATTCCTTTTTATTTATTTATTTATCTTGTGGTTTTACGAGACAGGGTTTCTCTGTGTAGCTTTAAAGCCTCTCCTGGAACTTGCTCTGTGGACCAGGCCGGCCTTGAACTCATGGAGATTCTCCTGCCTCTGCCTCCCAAGTGCTAGGATTAAAGGTGTGCACCACCAAAGCCCAACCTTATTTGATTATTCCTTATAACACATGATATTTTTCATCTTTGATGAAATTATCTGTCTTCCCTGGGGCATGTCTGTTCTCCAAGGAAAGAGTTTGTCTTCATACACTTTCTGTGTCTGTGGTATCAAGAAGAGCATTAAGTACATGGTGGACACATGGGATGTGTTGGTCAGGGTGCGCTATGGGCTGAGTCCCTCACACTCCTAAGTCCTTGAAGGAAGCATTGCCATCCCATCTTGCAGATGAGGAAATCAAGGCTTAAAGAGGTGGAGTCACTGGTCCAAGGCACCCAGATTATGAAGGGGATGTTAACTTGATGTCCCAAGTCTGGCTGTTACCTGCTTTTCCTTCAATTGCAGTTTCCTCCCAATTCCAGGTCAGGCCTGTCTCCCTCCAACCCCAGGGCCAGCTGTTGCTGCCCACATGCCCCACCTTAGCCACTGCTGTCCAGTGCCACTTTCCAGGAAATGGTAGCCACCTCACAGTGCCATTGGCTCAAGGACTGCGGTTTATTTTTCTCAATTTCCTTCCTCCTTTTACCCTTTGTTTTTGAGAAAGGGCATTCTAAACCAAAAGGCCAGATCCAGCTCTCCTGGGTCCACAGTCCCCACAGACCCTGGGCTTGTAGCACCCGTGCCTCCTGGGCTGCAGTATGGGACACAGAAAGCCGCACAGAGACCCTGTCTTCTTGGAGAATGGGTATTCAAAACCAAGAGCCAAACCACTTCTCCGGGTTCACAGTCCCCACATTCAAACCCAGAGAAAAGCCTTTTCTCTTGTAAATGAGGACAAAAATAGCTCTGAGCCAGAGAGGCTGGTGAGACATTTAAACAGTGTGGAGAGCCTGGGTCGAGAATGTCCTTAACTGTAGCAGCCTTGAAAATGATTTCCATTCTGATTGGAGAGAGGGCTGAGGTTTCTCCCTAAAGCCCCAAAGAGATGTTAGAAGCAGGCTTGACTTCCTGGGGTCCCCGAAAGTCCCCACAAAGGCTCCAGGGCTGCCCATCCCTCCCCACAATCAAACAGCTCTGAGCCGGACTGGGTCCCTTTCTCCACCTAGCTCCCAACTCGGAGACTGAGCCCCTGCTGAGCTGGAAGAAAGCCCAGGAGACGGTGCCCTGGAATATCATCCTTCTTCTGGGAGGTGGCTTCGCCATGGCCAAAGGTTGTGAGGTGAGAGCTGGGGAGACTTGGGGCCAGTGCATTGGAGGAGCGAGGGGAGGAAGGAGGGGACTGCTGGCCAGGGAAGAATGGGGGTTGTGAGGTGAAAGCCTGGAGGAGCTACTGTGGGCACTGGAGGAACAGGGTCTCCGCCAGGAAGGAGGGGCCACTGAGGCAGGGGAGGAGCCGGGGAAGAACAAGGCTGTGGGCTTAGGAGGAATGGGGGCTGTGGAAGGGAAGGGCAAGGACTGCAGCTCAGGAGGCGTGCGTGCTGCAGGCCCAGGATCTGTGGGCAACTGTGGACCCAGGAGAAGAGGTATTCCGAACATGCTGTTGAGTGGGGCTTGCAACTGTGGGCTGGAAGGTGTGACCAGCCTGCAACTGCAGCTCCGGGGAACAAGTGAAGAGGCAGCCAGGGTCTGTCACCCAGGTTAGGACAGTTCTTGACTCTAGCCTGTGGGTCTACCTTCAGGGCCTGGTGGTGGAGAAAGGGAAGTCTGATACAGCCCCTGGGGTCCCTCAATATGCTTGCACCAGGGCTAGCACTAGCACTGGGGTGACACAGAACACATGGGTCACCCCACTTCTGACATATGACCCTAGGGAGACCTCCCTGCAAACCTCTGAGGCAGATGCTGCCGTTACCCCATTCAGTGCAACGAAGTCACAACACAGAAAGATAAAGCAAGTTGCCTAAGGCCACACAGCAGCTGTGGAGTTGGGGATTAAATCCAGGCAGTCTGACTCCAAAGCCTGTGACCTTGATTCTGGTGACATGAATGCCAGATATCAATGGTGACTAATACATGCCATTCTGAATGTCATTCTGTTAAACCCAAATATCGGAGGAGAAAGGCCAATCCTATAAGAGTCACTGGAGCCAACTTTATTTTAGAGGTGAACCACCCCCAGCCTGCTCACCCTAAATCGGGATTTCAGAGAGCAGCCCTCACTGCCTTCTTGAGGTCCCTTTTATCAGGGAGGGGAGCCATACATCCAGGTGGTCATAGGTGTTAACAAGGGATCTTGAAAACTTATTTTTGTAAGGCAAAGGGCAATCATACATCATGGGTTCATGCATTCAGCGCAGGGTGAAAAACATGAAAACATGTTTTGCAGGATTCTTTAGGTTTAAGAAACCGACACTTCTTCCCAGTAAACCACAATGTGTAACAGTGTGGCTCCTTAGCAACAGTGTGACTCCTGTGTGGTTTCTGAATTCCTGAGACTCTGAGCTCAGAGATAGGCTGGGACCTGGGTGGCTGTGAAGCTTGCAGGTGCACTTTCAATCTTGCCTACTTCAGCATCTTGCTCGTTCACCTGCGAGTTCCGCTAAACAAGCCTTGACACTGGCGGTGGAATCAAGGCATCATCTCATTTAATCCTGACCTCTGGCCCTAAGATGGAAGTAAAGTTGCTATCCCCATTTTACAGGTAGGGAAAGTGGGGCAATGGTTACTTAAGCCTCCCGGAAGTCTGCATAGGAGCAGGGGCTGAAATGGAACTCGGTACTGAAGTAGAAGCCTCTTGTGGGCTTGCGAGAACTTGGATGCTGAGCTGAGGTGATTCCCAAGTAGTGACTCATCTTCAGAGACCTCTCCACCCGACCCCCACCCCTTCCAGGCTACTCACTGCTTTTGGCTCAGCCCAGCTCAGCCCAGCCCAGCCCAGCTCAGCCCAGCTCCAGCCTAGCCCCAGCCTAGCCCAGCCCACTCCATTCTGCCAGTCAGGATCTCATGTAACCAAGTCTAGCATCAAAGTTGCTACACAGCCAAGGATGACCTTGAACCTTCCACCTCCTGCCTCCACCTCCCAAATTCTGGGGTTATAGGCATGTGCCAACATGCCTGTCTTATGTAGTACTGGGGATCAAACCCAGGACATCACGCATCTGAGGTATGTCCTCAGCTGCTGTCCCCATTTTAAAGACAGGAGACAAAGACAGAAGAGACCAATTGCTCACCCTGTTTGCTCAGCCAGGGGAGGGCAGCATACAAGGCTCCACCTCCGGCATTCAGACCCATTGCCAGTTAAGAGTGTCTCTGATATAAGGAAGGCTGAAATGCCCTCTTACATGGTGAGGTGGTTTGAAAGAAAATGACCCCCAAAGGGAGTGGCACTCTTAGGAGGTGTGGCCTTGTTGGAGGAGATGTGTCATTGTGAGGGTGGGCTTTGAGGTCTCTTTTGTCAAACTTCACTTAAGGTGAAGTCAGTCGACTTTCTGTTGCTCTCTCAGCTCCAGCACCATGTCTGCCTGCATGCTGCCATGTTCCCCTTTGTTATTATAATGGACTGAGCCTCTGAAACTAAGTGAGCCACCCTCAAATATTCTCTTTATAAGTTGCCTTGGTCATGGTGTCTCTTCACAGCAATAATAAACCCTGATTAAGACAGAAATTGGTACCAGGAGTGGAGTATGACTGTGATAGGGCTGACCGTGTTTTTATTTGTCAGAATTTGGACTTCGGTACTTTGGATTAGGAAAGCAGTGGAATGCTTTAAGAACTGCTTAATGGACCATACTAGTAGGAACATGGGAGATGGAGGTGCTAAGAGTTATTTGAACTGTCTGGGGCTCACTCAAGAGGTTTCAGAGGAGAATGTAGTATGTTGCCTAGAGATATTTCAGTGAAGGAAGTGACTGCATTTTGCCCTCATCTGAAAAGCCTGCCTAAGGCTAAAGTGAAGACTTTTGGATTAATTCCATTGGCAGAAGAAATCTCAAAAAAAGTCTAGTATAGACTTTTGTATGGTTATTAATGGTAACTGTCATGAATTTATGATTTTTAGGGGGGAAAGAGCACCAAAAAGTGGATAGGAGTTAAATTCTTTAATCAAGGAGATAAACAGATTAAGAAATAGAATAAAGGGAGTGGTGAACTCAAGGAAAGATCCCACCCAGCTAAGTTTCCAATTTGGAGAAAGGAATTACAGAAAAATTTTGAGCTGGGTGTGGTGGTGCACACCTTTAATCTCAGCACTTCGAAGACAGAGGCTAGTGGATCTTTGAGTTTGAGGCCTGCCTGGTCTACAGAGCAAGTTCAAGGACAGCCAAGCTTTGGCAGTAAAATAGAAAGCTGGTAAAGATGTAATTAAACAAGGGGGCCATGTTCCAGCCCCAGCAACAGCAGAACTTGGCAACTTTGGCCACATGGTCCTGGCTTTGGAGTTGAAGCAACGAGTTATAGAAGTTGCCTCTGCGCTTAAGGACAGCCACTGAAGCCAGGCTTGTGTCAGGGATGTCCCTGAATGGAGGCCTAATAGAGAGGCCATTGTGTGAAGCTGTGAGGTTGAAGTCTGGATGGCCTTGGAGACCCCAAGATATTGGAGATGCCAGAGTCATGGGGTACCTGCTGAGGAGAGCTGCTAATGGAGTGGAACCAGCCCAAGAGAAAGAAGTGTGTTGCAGTCAACAAAGCTGAAAGGAGCTGGAGATCTGAAGAGCGTGTTGACATCAGACATGGAGATACAGAGTTTGGAGTTTGCCCAGCTTGTTTTCCATCTTTCTTTGGCCCGGTTTTTCGTCACTCTGCTCCCTTCCCTGCGTTTTGGAGTGGTAATGTATATCCTGTGCCATTATATGTTGGAAGTATGTGATCTGCTTTCTGATTTTGGCTTTTACAAGTGATTACACTTAACAGATTGTCATGAGTCTCAGAAGAGACTTTGGACTTTGAAACAAGTTTGAGACTGTTATAGACTATGGGGACTTTTGAAATTGGACTGACTACAGCTTTACATTATGATATGGCTACAAGCATTTGGGGCCAGGGAGTGGAATGTGGTGGTTTGAAAGAAAATGGCCCGCAAAGGGAGTGGTATTATTAAGAGGTGTGGCCTTGTGGGAGGAAGTGTGTCACTGTCAGGGTGAGCTTTGAGGTCTCTTTTTCTCAAGCTTCCCTCAGTGTGACAGTCAGTTGACTTCCTGTTACCTACAAGATGTAGGAGTCTCAGCTCCAGCACCACGTCTGCCTGCACGATGCCATGCTCTCCTTCATGATGATAATGGACAGAACCTCTGGACTGTAAGCGAGGCACCCTCAGTTAAATGTTTTCTATATGAGTTGCTGTGGTCATGGTGTCTCTTCACAGCCACAGTAAACTCTAACTGAGACACGTGGTATATCTGGGAAGGTTTCCTGGAGGAAGCAGCATGTTGTCCAGGTTTGGAGGGTCAGGCCTTGTGGTAGGACCAGACTGTCTCTATTAGAATCACAGATTTTTCTTGTGAAGGACCTTGGTTAAGTTGTTAAATTTTCTGGGTCTCAGTTTCATTATCTATAAAATGGGAATGACAGGACAGCCACCTGCTAGAGTTGTCACGTAGTGTTATAAAACACAGTGGTGCTTTGGACATAACCTAATGTGGTTGGCTATTTGGATTGGACATTAGAGAAAGGGCCAGTGGAGGCAATGGGGAGGCTCAGGCTGCACAATTGAGTGGCTAAGTTGCCTTTTGTTAAGTAACTGGGCACAGTCTGCCCCTGGGACTGGGGTTGCTGGAGATCCTGTACCCCAGAGGCTTCCCAAGCCGGGGAATTGGTAGAGGGGCACTGCCCCTGGGGCTGGGATGCAGGCCATAGTGCATGCTGGGAGGCCAATACTGGGCAACCAGCCAAGGTTTCCATTCAGTGAGGCCTTTGTCTACCAGATGCCCCTCACCCCAGCCTCTGTCCCCAGGCAGCATAATCTGGCCCAGGAACCACCAGGCTGCTTGTGATACCTCTTGGCTTCTGGACCCTGCCCAGGGCCTTCACCAGGCAGTAATCGAGTCAGCCAAGGCTTGGGGGTCCCTGGCTGGAGCATAGGTGGGCCTGGACATATGGATTCCCCAGAAGCCATAACAGTACTTCCTCAGGCCTACTATAGAGCGCACACTAGACACCTCGTATACTTCCACACAGTCTAAAGGCTTCCCTGGGGCTATGTGTGGGGCCAGACACAGCCAGCCCCTGCCTCTCTCCGTCTCTCCCTGCTGCTGTACCCACCTCCTTCTTCCTTCCCCCTGCAGC